AACAAATCTCCATTATTCATGATGATGATAGTGTCTGATTAGGAAATGCAGTAAGGGTATATGTGTCTTTTGTATTCTCTCTTAATTTATCTAAAAATCTCAAAATACACTATGGCCCCATTCGCTTGTCTGAAAAAAAACCAAAACACTATAGTGGCTGGTTGTGTGAGAGAAGTAATCAGAATGGCGGTGGAAGATGCACCAGTAGCAATGTGAGGAGAAGCAATAGGACCAATAATTGACCAAATTTTCACCAAATTTAACGCGCCTATATTATTGGGCGGAGTGAGGGAGTACATTATAAAATATATTCCATGATAAAATTAACTATAATTATTTGGTATCATAAATATTGATAATTTTAACACAAATGTGGTCATACTCAGATCAATTAAATTAAGATAAAACTAGAATTGCATTATTTATACGAGAGTATATTTCATTCCTTTGAAATATTTAGAAAAATCACCGCATTAGCTGTATCAATATTTCTTCAGCTAATTCAGTAATTTCAACAAACATGTTCAACACTAAAAAAATGATCCACTAGATTAAAAACTCCTAGTATCATAGAAAAACATTTCATACTTATGATAAAAATGATCTAAAATTTAAAAATGCTACATAGGCACCATTGGATCATATAAATGCTCTCAACACAAACTCACATCAAGCTATCAATTTTGACCCCGTAATACTATGGCCAAAGAAAAAATAAAGACATAAACATTAGGTCAAGTGTTTTCGAAAACCAAGTTTGCACTTAAACCTCTCGGGGCCAAGAACATCCGTGTGGCATCAACATAACTAACTCAAAGTGATTGCTTCTCTACAAAACACATGTTAGTCACATAAACTTGTGTTCATCACTTATCAAAACCCTAAATTCAAAATTGGGGCCTAAATGTGTTCATATGATTTGTGGTTTACAACATGAATCTGGTGCACGACTCAATTTTATGTTAAGTACGCCAAATGGAAAGATTAGAGGTTTTTAGCCAAAACATATTTTTGCCACACTAGTATTGTTTGGACCGGATATGCATTATTTTTTCAAGTTGTAATACTTATTTAAGCAGTTTATAAGTTGTTGGACCAATTTGCACTGACTTGCCAAGTTGTCACACGGTGGAAGTAATTAACTTGGTCTATTTTATCAATCCTATTAATATAAAATGAACACCGACAATGGCATCGGTTTGTACAAACAATCAAAGGTGGTAAAATAACTATCACCATTGGTTTTTGTCTAGAGTTGATGGAGAGAATCATTATCACCATCGTTCCTTCACTGGTCTAAGTGCTATAAACTCGTAGGAATCTAGGTAAATGCTTATTTCCACGCACATGTGTAGAAAGGCTTTAACATGCACACACTACAAGACAAAAAAAATCGAAGAAGAGCTTGTTGGACTGACCGTAGCTTCCATGGTGGAGACACCCCCAGAGGCCGGAAACGAAGACCTCAGCGGCGTTAGGGTAGAGGGCTTTGGGGCTTCAAGGGAGCTTCCATGGCTGCGGGCGTGTAAGGGGGCTTCCAGGGAGTCTGCTAGATCGATGATGGTGGAGGTCGAGACGGCGGCGTGGCGCTGCCCTCCGGATTAGTAGTATAGAGGCTAGTTAGGCAGTGCAGATGGCGGTGGAATTGACCGGAGAAGAAAACACTACTACCCTAAGGATTTTTAGGGGCTGCTGAAATGGGTTTGTAGGGGCGGTTTTGCGAGCCGCCCCTACGCTCCCATTGCTAGAAATGGATGATTTGTAGGGGTGATCGAATTTATAGGGACGGCTTACTATTTGTAGGGGCGGCTGGATATTGAGCCATCCCTACAAATCCGTTTCCAGAAATTCGTGAATTTAGGCCAAAAAATACTATTTTTTTTAATCTGGGGAGGCCCCCACCGGTCAACCACCCGCCCCTACAAATTCGAAATCGCGCGCTTGGCGGCTGTGGGAATTCAAACCTACGACCTCCCCCTCTCGCGTACCCTCCTCTACCACTACAACTCACACTCAATTGGGTCTATATTGGATTTTGGTTTCCCACATATTATCCTAGACCGAGCATAAATTAATTGTCTGAGGCCGTAAATGAATTCAAATGAAAAAGTTGTCAACTACAACGTTTCATAACTTTTCAGGGTCTACAACTTTCATTTTGGTAGTTTCTCCATCCGAGGTCGTTTATAAAATTTGAATTTCAAATTTGAGACATTCAAATGTAGTTTTCCATGACAAGATGATTTCAAATGAAAAAGTTGTCAAGTACACATTTTCATAACTTTTCAACATCTACAACTTTCGTTTTTGCTATTTGTCCATCCGAGGTTATTTAAAAAATTCAAATTTTAAATTTTTGTAAATTCAAACATAGTTTTTCTTGATAAGATGATTTCAAATGAAAAATTGTCAACTACAAAGTTTCATAACTTTTCGAGATCTATAACTTTTATTTTGGTTGTTTCTCCATCCGAGATCGTTTGAAAAAACCAAATTTTAAATTTTAGAAATTCAAACATAGTTTTCCTTGACAAAATGAATTCAAATGAAAACGTTGTCAATTATAAAGTTCTATAACTTTTCGAGACCTAAAACTTTTATTTTAGTCATTTGTTCGTCCGATATAGTGGCAGTAACATTGTTCATAAATTTTACATATCCCTCCACTAGTACATAAAACTTTGTGGTGGTGGGCGTTTTGGATTTTTGGAGACGGGCAAAGCAACCACCTCCAATCAAGGGTCACGGTTAATGCGCAGACCATGTTTGTCCACCTCGGTTAATCAATATGAAAAAACAAAAAAAGAAAATCCCGTGGACTGGCTTGCCGAGCCCATCCACGGGCCGCCGCTACCACATCCGCTCACCGGTGCCTAGATCCGGCCGCCCGGTGTCAGATCTGACCGCCTGCCGCCAGATTCGATCTCCCGTCGCAGGCATTAACCGAGACTGTTGGATTCTGTGACCGCCTTGGTTAATAAAAGGGCACCGTCTTGTAAAATGATTTGTGTAGTAGTGCTCTTATAGTTTATGAAACTATAAGAGATATACGTAAATTTTGTGAACAATGTTACTACCACTTTGTTATATAAAGAAATGACCAAAATAAAAGTTATAGATCTTGATGAGTTCTACAACTTTTATGTTCATAACTTTTTCGGCTGAAATCATTTAATATTTCAAAATGTCGTTTGAAGTTCCTATTTTTAAAAATTCAAAATTCAAATAGATAAAACACAGTCACATGAAAAGATGTATAAAATAACAGCTGTAATAACACAATAAATGGATAGTGCATGATTTTAGAATGTTTTAGAAAAATCATCAAATTTGAAGTTAGTACAAAGAAGAAAGACTAGCTATAAGCTTTAGCCAAAGATTAAAAAGAGAAAACAGAGTTCTTCAGTAATTTCAAAATTGAATTTCAAACAACATTTTGAAGCAGTAAATGATTTCAAATGAAAAAATTGTAAACAATAAAGTTTCATAACTTTTTGAGATCTACAACTTTTATTTTGGTCATTTTTTCATCCAAGACCGTTTAAAAAAATTTAAATTTTAGTGCTTAATTTTTACTATTCGGCATCTATTTGTAGGGGCGACTCAATATCGAGCCACCCCTACAAATCCAATTTATAGGGGCGGCTGAATATAGAGCCGCCCCATACAAATTGAACCATTTATAGGGACGGCTTGTTTGGGCACCTTTTGTAGGGACGGCTCAATATAGAGCCGCCCCTCAAAAAAAGGGACATTGTTAGAAATCCTTTTTGTAGTAGTGAAATGAACAAGGGGATTGGGATTAGCGGCGGCAATGGTGAAGCAAACGGTGCACTAGGAGAAGGAATAGTTGCGTTAGATTTAGTGAGAGCAGTGGGAAAAGGCGGAGACAAGGAGGGTGCTGCTGAAATCGGGCATGTTAGGGTGGTGGCGATGGAGCATGGGTAGAGAATCTAAGATAAGGGGAAGAGAGAAGGAGCCAGCTGAGCGCTTTTATTTGGACGTTCAGCTCCACCTATCTTTGAGATTTGAGAACCAACTATATCAGAATCACCATTGTTTATCTTGTATGTGCTAGTGGAGAAGAGTTACATAAATAGTACGCGGACATGGCCGTTTACATGCCGTGTAAATGCTACACAGTAGCTTGTCGTGTCCATTTAATTAGTCGTTTACTCATCGTTTAGCCTGTTTAAATGTCCATTTAGCTCCAATAAATAGCTACGTTTAAACGTTTAGGCTAACACTATTAGTACTAGAGCATAAATGCTACTCAAATACACGTACTAGATAACTTGAACTTCGATCGTCAGCCATGGCTTGTGTAATACTTCTTCAATCTAAATTCAAAGTTATATAGGTGATTTTAGCTTTTTAGATACATATTTTTATTATATATCTAAACATAGCATATATTTAGATACATCTATAGAAGCCAAAAACAACTTAATTATAATCTAGGATGAAGGGAATACTATTGATTAAGCATTAGAAAGGAAATATCCCCTCCCATTCCTCCCACTTGTTAGGAATCCAATCACGCTTTTTCACGAAGAGAAAGAGTAGTTGACTACAGCGAAGAAACCATGCATACACCCTCTAGAATTCCAGATGGCAGATGCATATAGTTCCCACCGCTCTGCATATGTTCGAGCACCTTGCTTTATACATACAGGAACGGAAACATATTGATTACTACACTCGTGCTCCTCAAGTCCCTGGGATCCACATGCTCATGAGATATCAACAGGATCGAGCAGAGCCATTTCAATTCGTAGGCTCAACGGTCTAACGGCAAGTTGTATGCTTGCGTTGTCTTTATATATAAATCAGCAACCTGCATGATGCGGGACACACACTTCAGTATCCACAGCTAGTCTAGTCGATCGCACGGCCTCCTGGTGATTGCCGCCGTCGTAGAGTGCCTCGTGTCTCTGTCGCTGGTCCACTTCTCTGGCGCTAGCCCCCCGCCATCACCAGTCCGCTGCGCTGCCTCCGGCATGACCGACTGCACCGTGACCAACGCGTACGGCGCGTTCCCGGACCGTTCCACATGCCACGCTGCGGCGGCCGTCTTTCCGGCCTCAGAGAAAGAGCTCCTCGGCATCGTGGCCAGCGCCACGAAGTCCGGGACCAAGATGAAGGTGGCCACTCGCTACGGCCACAGCGTGCCCAAGCTGGCGTGCCCCGGGGGCGACAGCGGCCTCATCATCAGCACCGACGCCCTGAACCGCGTCGTCGGCGTGGACGCCAGCAAGGAGGAGATCACCGTGGAGAGCGGCGTCACGCTGCAGCAGCTCATCGACGCCGCGGCCTGTGCCGGGCTGGCGCTGCCGCACTCGCCCTACTGGCTCGAGCTGACGGTCGGCGGCTTGATCTCCACGGGCGCGCACGGGAGCTCCCTGTGGGGCAAGGGCTCTGCCGTGCACGAGTACGTCGTCGGGATGAGGGTTGTGACCCCGGCACCGCCGAGTGAGGGGTATGCCAAGGTCCGGGTGCTGGTCGACGGCGACACGGAGCTGGACGCGGCCAAGGTGTCACTCGGGACACTCGGCGTCATTTCTCAGGTACCGTACAGGGATCTGACGACGGACACAACATACTAGCTCTTCTTTTACACTAGTTTGCCTTGGATCACCGTCTTTTAGTTTTACAGTGAATAAGCGCACAAAGTTCTAGCCTAAGAACTAACCACGCACCGCACCGTACGTAAATCTTTACTGTTTCTTACCAGGTTAAAAATACTGATTCACAAAATTGCAACTTGATCACGATACCATAACTTAATTTGTCCTTAAATTAAAAAATAATCATGTGTCATTATGTTTCCGTAGATCGAATCATCATCTCGAGATGCATATATTGGCCTCGTTCGGCTCGCTGAATCTTGGCTGAAATTGGCTAAAAACACTGTTCTTGCTGAAATATTGTGAGAGAAAAACACTGTTCCGCTGAAAAAAAGAAGCCAAACAAGTTGGATATGGGGTAAGCCGAACGGGGCCATTAAGCCTTGTTTAATTCCTCCTCAAAAGTTTACATCCTATCCCATTGAATGTTTGGACACATGCATACAGTATTAAATATAGACTAAAAAATAACTAATTATACAGATTGCGACTACTTTGCAAGACGAATCTTTTAAGCCTAAGTAGTCCATAATTTGATAATGTGGTGCTACAATAACATATATGCTAATGATGGGTTAATTAGGCTTAATAAATTCGTCTCGCGTTTACTAACGAATTCTGTAATTTGTTTTTTATTAATATCAAACACCTCATATATATATTCTCATGTAATATCCGATGTGACACCCCAAAACTTTACCCCTAACATTTAATCATGGCGTAAGTGCCATGACGTGAACAGATTTGCCGGAACCGATGCCTATAACAAAATTTATGGGCACGTACACAATCTTCCACTGCATATGGGACATATATATATAGAGAGATAGATGATAAGTATCTGTCATATTTATCTAAGTATAAAAGTCAATGCATGCACATGCAATCCCGTAGAAGTTTTGCTAGTGAACAAATACAAATGCGGTTTCTTACACAATTGTTGAGTGTAGACTTAGCTTCCCAGGGGCCGCGTAGATCTTTATTTATTGAGTTGGAGGATGAGCATTCACCGCACTTTTTTTTTCTCGAATACGTAAAAAGTTTACGTATTTTTGTATTAAGATTGAGAAAACATGAAACTTACAACGACGCGCCACAAACATGGCACACTAGAGTGGCGATGTTAGTGTTATACAATCAGCTCTGCTCTCCCTAACATAATGAGCTCATGGGCTATTACTCGCTAATCACACTATGTAGCCATCATCGGCCATCAGACGCGCTGGCGTGCGCGGCGCCTCGGTCGCTCTCCTTGTGGGTCTAGGAAGAGCTAACTCATTGTCTCAAGCATGCGAGGGTTGAGCTGGTCGACGGAAGATAGTGTCGTAGGCATCCTTGGATGCTGTGGAAGGCCTCGTTTGGCCGTCGATGAAGCTCATCCGCTTCATCACTAGCACCTCCCCCGCTTAGAAGTTGGGATGCGTGAAAGCACCTGAGCAACAATCCTCCTGCTGCGAGTCGGCAACTTTGGTTTTGCCTCCACAACTGGCTGAGGCAGCAGCGGCGACGACACCTTAGGTAGGATCTTTTCGGTGAACCACTTTAACCTCTTGGCAGCGGAGCTCCCGCATTCAACTAGCCCAGAAGGTGTGGTCGTGTCCGCAGCTGGGGGATGGCACTAGGGCTTTGTGGGCGCGCCTCGTCATCCACGATGGCAGGCTGTCCCCCTCGCGGTGGCAGGGTGGGTGTGGCCACGTCCTCGCCTAGGGTATGTTGTTGGTGCACACCTCGGCCTATATGGTGTGTCCCGCACGGGGTGTGGCTGTGGCTGTTGTAACACCTCTGATGTTACGAGCTTGCTTAGCATCGAGATTTAGGTCCGAGGGGAATTAGCCAAACAAGTTTTTGGGTTTTTAAAATTTATAACGCACGTGAAATCATAAACAAAATCTATGTGACTCACTTTGGTGGTTGAGAAAAATCAAAATAAATAGTGTTAACTAGTGCTCTTGGGATCTCAAAAATCAAATTTGACGTTAAGATAAGCTCTTTTCATTAAGTCGGCAAACACATGAACTATTGTTAAAATACCATTTTTGGCGAATTATATTGAGCAAAATAGTTAAATGGTGCTTAAATATTTTGCTCATATGGGTTAGTATAAGGTATGGACTATTACATGAAGTATTTGTTGGTTGAAGTTAACAAGGTATAGACCTATTAAAAATTACGATAAAAGAGTTAATGGTTACTTAGCCCCAACTGAAATCCTTAACTTTTCTAAGTATGAAAAAGTAGTAAGACAATATTATTTTGATATTTAATTTCTAACAAAAATATTTAAAAACTAGCTGTATGTTTTGGTATTGTTGATTGCATCAAAGTGAGTGCTTGAGCATGGCATATGTCGAAGTTGTGTTGGATGTCACATTGCTCTCGTAAAAATTGCCCAAACTTCCTTAGAACGCGTTGTAATCGTGTTGTGGCGCTTCGTTCGTGAACCGGTACTTCAGTGATGAGTCTATGTTGGCACTCTTTTAGTGACTTATCTAGTTGTTCTCGGGTCATGGCGATTGCTCTGCTAGATAGTTGGTATGGTTGGCTTTAGGTTAGTGAAACTGGTTGAACCTTAGTCGAGTTAATCAGCAGTTTTTGCTTCGCTTTAGAATTCGGGCACGTCAAAGCTTTGTGCTCTTTGGCGCCGTGCGCGTGGTCACCACGCGTGGCCAACCCGCGTCGCCGTGCGGTCGTGCCGTGCACGCGTGCGTGGCCGCGCACCGCCTGGCCGTGGCCTCCATGGCCTTGCCGCGGCTTGGCCGCACCTCTAGGCGGCCGGTCCGCTCTGCACCCGACCGCCCCTACCACCACAGCTACCGCGGGTGATGCTGCTGCCTCCGCACCCACGCCGCGTTGATACCGCTGCCGCTACCATCGCATCGCCACGCTGCGCCGCTAGCTCGCCTTGATGCTACGCGCACGAGGCCGTGTCGGCGTCGCCTTTCCATTTATGGCACTACAGTGCGCGAGCCACGTCGGCAGCGAGCGCTTGGCCGTCGGCTAGCGCTTGGCCGTGGGCGCCCTAATCGTGCCAATCGCGTCCCGCCAAGCATGCACATGCCAAGCCTTTGACCAAGTCCCCACCACCTCCCGTCCAGCTCGATTCTCCCCTGTCCGCCTCTCTGCGGCCGCCATCGCTGCGCCGCGCCAGAGTGCCTAGACGCGAGAGGACGCCTTCCATTAATTTGCTGCGCCCACCGCTCCGCCCTCACATCCCCTCTCCATCGTCCCTACCCCACTTTGATTGCGGCTCACCAAGCCTCAATTTTGGAGCTTCGCCCCACCACCACACCGTTAAGACCCGTCACCACCCGCGCCATGGCCAATCCTCCCCACTTAGTCCCACGTTGAATTGGCTACACCAATAGCTCCACCTTGAGCCCCTCTGCGCCGTGTGCACGCTAGTCGTAGCTCTAGTGCCACCTCCTCGCTGCTAAAGCGGACGTGCCTTTGTGGTCCACTGTTCACCTCACAGCGCGTACGTGACCAGCCTCGCTCGGGATATCTCCGGTCGAGCTTGCACCTCGGTAAGGTCACTAGTGAGTTTTCATTCCTCACTCGCTACCCCTACTACCTTGTTGTTACTGCGGCTCACTAGAACACCATCGCCATTGCCATAGGGTGCCGCCGTTGTGGAGAGGTCCTTCTATGGCGTCCCAGCTCGTGCAACCGTTGTCCATCGCCTCGTGTCGACCCCTTTGTTGAGATTGACCTCTTAGCTAGGTTAGCATGGGTCTTGGGTGGCCGGCGCGGTCACCAGTGCCACCACTCACCGCGTTGGAGTGCGCGGGGGAGGCTAGGGACCATGCCGTTGTAAAGAGGAGAAAGTGCAAGGATCTTTTTGCATAGGTGTTGTCTTTAGGAATAGTAACGTGGACTACGGGTTGTTTTGTTCAGAGTCCAGGGGTGTTTTTGCTAATATGTTAGCGCGCACGTGGGCTCCTCACCGTGGGTCGCGCCTCGCGTGGGCGGATTCGATTATCTTTTTCGTGGAAAATAGAAATAACTTTTCATTTTTATTTTCGAGCGAACTTTGATAATTTATATAAAATGATATAGATGTCCAAAAATTATGAAATTAATTTTGTTAGGTTTCTAAAATCATGATCTATCTGCTAGTATATTTTGTTCACATAGTTTTATAATATTTTCAGGAGTTATGTAATTAATTTAAGATGCTTAATATTGTAAGATATAAACTTGTATGAATTGTTGTGATAAATTGATGATAGTGTTGGCTCTAAAACTTTCACAGTAAATTTCTCATATTATTAGGTGCTCATTGTAATTTTTGTAGCTTTATAATAATTAGTTTGCTAAGGTAGCTAAATGAGCCATATGAATTATTGTGATAAATTGTAGTGATAGTGTTTAATCAATAAAATATATGTTTTTAGAGACAAAGCCTTACTTGATGATGTGATACGTAGACTAGTATGTTACTCATTAAATCTAGCTTGTTAGCTTGCGGAGCATAATCGTATATTTAAGAGGTGCGATTACCGTTGATTAATTGTGTCTCTGCGTTGTATCCACGTGTATCATAGTAGGAACAATGATGGATTATGGAGTTGACTGAAGTTGCAGAAAAGATGATTTCTTGATGATTGTGTCACTATGATGGAATGCTAACTTTTGGTTATATCTTACCTAGGTAAACCCCGGTGCATAACCCCTATTATTCTGTACTTTATTTTATACTTGTGCATTAAGTTTTAAGGAGTTGGATGAAAACCACTTGCATATATACATCCTTACCCTATGAGTCCTACTAGTATATCAGGATCGTGTAGATTGCTATGCTATAGGACCCGGTAGAAGTCGAGTGATTACCTGTCACTCGCGAGAGATAGGAAAGATATTATTGTTGTTATTATATTACTATCACATGGAATATATATATGGATGATAATTGGAGACCGGGCGGAATGATACTTTGGATCTGGTCTTGGTTAGGCATTCGAGTGAGGCTTGATTACACT